TGAATAAGCCTGCACTTTAGGGTAGCAGAAGAAAGTGAAGTAAGGAATATCTATTTCAAGCCCCATCCTACATGCAAGTCAGTACATGCAGACCCTTATGTGCACGGAGAACCTTAAAAGAAGCCAGTGAGACTCTGTATGGAGCAAACAAATGTCCCCATGGGGAGCAGTATCAGGACCTTGTTATGTTTTTCCAGAGGTTTCACAGAAAGCAATAAGGCATTTAACTTTGTTCTATAAACACAATGAAATCCTGTTTGGGGCCTCATACTGTATGTCCCCTCAGAAATTGTAACATTGAGGGATTAGCATCACACTTAATCTGGCTGTTTGTGTAAATCTCTGTCACTTTTGACTGATACTGGGAGAAAGTTAATATTCACTTTGAATTACCAAACATGAAAACATCAGCTTTATTGCTTACTTGGGGCTATTAAAGGAGCAGGAGAGAATAAAAATAACTAATTTTTTTTTTTTTTAAAGAAAAAGTAACACAAAACAACCCCCCCCCCCCCCCCCCCCCCGTAAATGAAAGGACATGATATTTCATTCTGCTGAGGGTTGGAGATTTCTAAAAGATACATGGTGCACCAAGATCTCTCTCTCATTTTTCCTCTTTGCAGACACTAGGGACCAAACTGGTCTTTCATTAAGGTTTTATTTAGTTTAATTTTCAGTTTCTTTCCTTTTATAAAGACTTCGTGTTGTGGGAAAGCAAGTTAAAAGATGTGTTCTAAAGGATTTGGCTTGGAGGACAGTAAATGTCCAATATAACCCTATCCCTCCCCCCTGCCCCTGCCCAAATTTGGCTTTACAAGCTTCAGTTTAACAGAAATGTGAAGATTTATAGTCAAATGGAAATTACTTTGAGTTTGAATAAAATCTGCTGCACTTGCAACTCAAACAAGGGCCTCAGATATTAGCAGCAGTTTTCAAGTGAGCTGACCACATGAGCATGAACAACAGTAGAGCCGACTCACTTAACTGTACTACCCAGTCTGAGATGCAAAAAAACAAAAGAAAAAAGTAGTTGGGTTGATTGGCAAGAAAACATTTAGAATTTTAAAACTTTTCAGTTTGCATAAGTTATGAAGTGTTATTAGTATTGCTATTCTTTATGTACTGTTGCATATAAAGGTAATTTATATATAAAGTGTATGGAGTTTTCAAAATAAACCAATTTCTGTAGAAAAACAGGAAGCAAAAAGCATCACAATTTCATAACATCTACTACAGCTTGAACTTTACTCTTCTAAAATGATATTTTTTGTTTTGAATTCAAGGCCATCAAATCAGAAGGGGAAGATTCATGGAGTGAGGTTGTGCAGGACCCCAAGGAAGACTTCAAGATGTTCAGGAGTGCGTTTTATAATTGGTTTTAAAGATACTGCAAATGGTTAGAAATGCATTCAATTACCACTATCTTGTTGAACCAGAAGTTGTTCACATCTGCATTCCATGGATAGAGTTATAATGCCACAAGAGGATTTTACATATCATCAGCATAAGGAAGGAAGAGTAATGTACATATTAGTTGGAAAACAGAAAGATTAACCATCTGGGGATTGCTCATTGTGGAAAGCAAAGAATTTACTGCAATTCTTATGAACATGGGTGTATGCGCTGTTGATGAGTTACTTGCTATGGAGTTGGAACAGATGGGGATATAAAAGGAGCAAAGCAGGAAGTGGCTTAGATAAACAGCATTCCCACAAACAGTGAACAAAATAACCATATTAATAAGTATGAAGCAGTGGCAGGTCCCCTTCACTCCAACCTTAGTGACGTACATGCTGTACCTGGATACAAGGCACCAATGCTAGGTGATGCCTACATAGAAGCTTGAAGGCATGGGCAAGTGTAGGCAAGATGGGATGTGTGTCCATCTCTCTATTGTTCTGTAACTTTTTTCTTAAGTGCTATTTACATTTTGGCAAATAAATCCTACCTAGCTTCAAAGAAATGCTTTGAGAGGGAGCACATACTTTCACCAAATGCTCTAGTAAGCCTTTGTAGAACAACCAAATCTCTTCTAGGTTTACATTCAATCTACAAATCAGACATTTGCGACTGAAAAAATGTCAGTTCTCAAGGGGGCTGAGAATGTTAGCCAGACCTCATTAGGGTGATTTATGATGACTGTCATTCAACAATTTCCCCACATAAACAAAGATAAACTTGTAAAGGTGTAGCTTAAAGCCAAAGACTCCTTATCTATTGAGCATAATGATGCTCATGTTTTTGTTAGCATTTGTGACATATGAGCTACAGACCTCTCTGGTTATGTGCACACTATTGTAAGAGGACTGCACCAACATTATGTTGGTTTGGTTACCATTATTAGGGAAACATTCCCCTAAAAGTTCACTACCCCAAGGAATCTTTGTATGCCTGTCAGGCAGGCATATTAGTAATGGCCTCAGTGGTGCCATAATCTATCTATTCACCTTGCCACATGCAATTCTCTCCTTAAAATGTTCTCTCTTATACATTTTTGTTCATTTAGCTCTGATCCAGGATTTTTGATGCTTTCCAAAACTTCTTGGGGCATTTGATCAGACCTGGGAGGGTAACGCTATGTGGATTTTCGGGGAGCATTGAATCTGCAGCTGGAACAAGGCTTTAACCCATGGCCTAGCAAAAGTTGCTGAGCACAAGGCAGAATGATAGGTAAGCTAGCCATTTGCTCATGCTAAGTAACCATTTTAACTGTGTCAACCATTTTCAAGTAAGTTTGTGTGCTGTGAATGAGGTAAAGCCTGAGGAATGTGGAAGATGGTACAAATTGGGACAGAAAAACAGATTGAAATTTGAAAAACAACATGTAATTGGTAACAGAATCTGAAGTGAGCATAGGCAAAAAGGTGAATTGTGATTGGTGAAGAAGCCTCCAGAAGCTTCCAGGTTTTGGTCAAAGTTTGCCTATTGACCAAAGAAGAGAAGTCAAGGTCTTAGACATGCTCTCATAGCAAAAAGACATGTAAATGAGTAAAATGCATAGGTAATTCCATGCGAATGAAGCAAACAATAAACAGAGGCGGAGCTTGAGATGGGAGGAGAAATGGGTGGAACAAGAGGAGGGACGAAGGTTGAGTGAATGTTAATGAACTTAAACCAAAGTGTATAAATGTAGGAAAAAGCTATTGTTTAGTGCAGGTCCCTGGTTTGCTGGGGTTTTTTGGGACCTTTGTCCAAAGCAGTCTCCATTCTGAATAAAGCCGTTGCAAGCAGTGTGCGCTGGTGTTTGCTCCCTGCTCTGCTCTGGCTAATGAGTAACAGAACCCATGAGCAATTAGATCGTTGTCTCCCTAGTCGTTGGGCACCACATGGAGTCAGCGTCTAACAATACCTTCTTTTGTCCTCTAAAAAATAAATAAATAAATAAATAAATAAATAAAAAAAATATGATCTGTAGTATGCTCTATATACCATAAACAAATATGTTACATTTCCCTCTAAATTACACTGAGTTCCCAACAAGTCACATGGCTGTCTGATTTCCTTTGCTTGACAAATCATAACTGTCAATGATTAATTCTGGGTCTTCCAACACAATCTCACTGAGTGTTTTGTCCCAGATCCTAGTCATGCTCTTGTCTCGTATAAAAGAAGACTTAGTTAGGCCCTCCACCCAAAAATTTGCAAGCCTGTCCCTTCAGCCTTAGAACTAGTCTTTGTTTTCTCCTTCTTTTTGTATTCTGTTTGAAAATACATCACTAATGTTTCATTTATACATGGTGTAACTCCTACTCGAATTTCTAGCACACAGTTTCATAATGAACCACATTTGCCTGATTTATAACTATTAAAAAAAATAAAACAAAACAAAAAAAAACAAAAACAAAAACAACACACCACACAATATTTCAGAATTAGCTATTGTGTGAAATAAAGGTACCTTCTGAACATCCTCCTTCCTGCTGGCACCCATTACCTGTGTAGATACATTCATCAGATGTTTAAACATTCATCAGATATCCACCATGTTTCTGGAGAGTTTCAGTTCTTGTGGGACTTTTCACTGCTTCGCTCTTTCATGCAAGGTGTTTTCTTACTTTGTCTAAATCCTAGAATCACATGTTGTTCAGTAGTTATGCAGAGATAAGGAGTCTGACTCAGGGTCAACTATACATGGTGCCCAAGTTCTAATTGATCAGCATGGAGTTGCGCAAGGACCTGCTTAACTGTTTCAGCTGGTTCATACCAGAACTAATTAGGTTGACTTCAAATTAATTGATCATCTGTATAAAAGTATAACTGGTTTTATAGTTCATAAATCATAATTTACAAATGCTAAGAGTATGTGAATCTCAATAAGTCAAGATAAGTCTCAAATATGCCCTTAGTTTTTACTATACGTTATGTTTGCCCTATTTTTTCCTTTTTTCAGATGATGCTCAGACTACATGAAAGGAAGACAGAAATGAAGGAAGTGCTAGCAAAGGGAGGAGAAAGAAAGAAGACAATACACAATGGGCAAGGGGAAGAGACACCCAAATATGGGGGGAAAAGGGCAGCATAATACAAAAGAGATAAGGAAGACAAAGTGTCACCAAGCAGTGGATCTCGATCCACTAGTAGATCTTGGAGCCTCTTACAGCGGACCTTGGAGCCTCTTGGAGTCAATCTGAGGCTGGAGTGGTGGGGCTGAGTGCCCGCATATATGCATGCACGTGCGCCAGGTCAGTCTGTGGGAGAGGGAAGGGGCAGGGGCTAGATTGAGGCCCCTGCGGTGAGGGACGGTGCTGCAGGAGCAGGGGTAAGTGGAGTAGACCCTGGCTCAGTGGGACTTACCTGCTGGGGAGGCATGGCCCCAAATAATTTTTTCTAAAACTACCCCCTCACTTCCCTTCTGTAACAGGGGGCCTTCTTAGGGCTGCTTTCACTGTGGTCCACCCACCTGTTCCTGGCCTAACCGCCCACCTTCTTGCCCACCACACTTCGTTGGTATAATTAATTAATAGATGTTAATAAGCAGGAGGCTGCCCATTTACTGCCCTCAGGTCTTGGGCATCTCTCATGGTGGGCCCCTGGCCCTTCAACCCTTCTGGTCCTAGCCCCAGCATGGGCCAGTCAGGGGAAACTCAGACAGGCCTGAGTCTATGGCCCTTTTCTCTCACCAAGGGTCCACTCTCTGGGCCCTCCAAAACAAGGGGTAACCCACCCGGTCATGGGGGCTAGGGGTTAAGGTGCCCCAACCCACCTTTCACCAGGGTGGTAACTGGCCTGGCATTTCCTGGGGGCTCCCACACCACTGACAGCCCTACCAGGCCACCTATTCCTGGCAGGGTGCAGTTTTAGGTTGTACCCAGGACCAGGAGCCTCCTTACTATCCCCTACAGCTCCTCCCGTACCTCCAAATAACACCAACAGCCCTCCAGCTAGGCAATGATGTTGCTTGGCCCCTAGCAGCCAAGCTGCCCTGTTTATATGGGCAGCCCCAGATCCCAAAATGGCTGCCCTAATCAGGCACCTGGCAGCTGCCAGCTCCAGGACCTTAAAGTGGCAGGCACAACCAGTGCCTTCCTACAGATTTACCTGCTGGGTGGTGGTGTGGTGTGGGTGTGGTTGTGGTGGCAGTGGCAGTGGCAGTGCACAGTAGATCTTGGGTTGCTTTTAAGTGCCAAAGGTGATCTCCTACTTTAAAAAGGTTGGAGACCACTGTTGTAGAGTACAAAGTCCACAAGGAAGGTGGGAAGGAGTTGTCAAGAAATGTAGGTGAAAAAATGCACGGAACTACTGCAGCCTATAAAAATGAGAACAGTCTCTTTTATACTATACAGTTTCTTACACTGTGGATGCATCTCCATGAGACACTGACTACAGTTGGTAATCTGCAGTCATTTAATACTTGCATACACATGTACTAAACAACTGCGCAGTAACCGGAATTACTGCACAGAACATCCCTAAACAGCTTCTTGGTGACACTTAACTACAAAGTAGCTTGTTAATACTGCACATTAGTGTTGCATCATACTTCATGCCATGTGACACTGCTGCATGGTAGTAACAAGCTACTGCGGAGTCAGTGTGGACACGACCTGTGTACAGCACTGTGGAGTCTAATTCAGTGAAAGGTTTTTGACAACAAAGAAATCAGAAAAAAAACACTATTATTACTACTACTACTACAACAACAAAAAATCAGAGTTACAGGAGCCAAATAATATTCAGCAAGTATCTAGGTCTGGAAGAAAGGTTCTGGCAGATCTGGAATTCTCATTCTTCCTCTCATTCTTCCAAATTCTATGACAGATCAGTCCTTATTTCCATTTATCATCTTTTTTATGCTGATATCTTCTTTGACAATAAACACTGTGGGGGTTTGGTTAACATTTGTTCAAAATTTCAGGTACTTGGAATGCACTGCATTGTGTTGCTTTTGATATGCAATCTGCATGAGGCATGATTTCAGGTGTTAAACATGAAATGTAACCTTTAAACATTGAAAATAAATTCATACAACAGCTTGAGGACAATATACACAGCTGACTGCAACCAGATTGGCAAGACTATTTCTTCTGCCAATATTTCTTCTGAACTTGCTTGAATATTTCTTCTGAATGAATGCTCCAGCATTCAATTATATACTAACAAATCAATAACTGTTCAACTGACTGATCCACACATATTTGCAGAGATGCAATAAAATTTTAAAAGGAAACCTTTTATCTTGCATCTGTTTGAGATACCAGAGGTTAGTGGGTCAGGAAATCACTGCCCCACTAATACTTTAAACTTTGTTCATCCTGAAAAGTCAGACTTGATGCCATAAGATTAAAATCTGTCCTGTTTTTGTCATCCATTGGCTCAGGCCAAATTTTTAACATTTTTAACATTTGAAAAAGTTTTTAACATGCTACATACTCACCATAAAACATTGTTTGAAAAAAAACACAGCACCTTTTCTGATGTTAGCAATGGGACAAAAAGCACTTCTAAACTCAGGGAACATTCCATAGATTTTTTTTTTATACAAAGACCTTTGCCAGATTCCCAGCACTGAACATACATGAGTTTTGATATGCTTAGAATCGCAACTGCTCGAACCCAGCTCATTCTAACAAAAACTAAGCTGTGTTGATTTATGCTTTGTAAGTGGTGTCGACACTATTAGGCATAACACAGCATAATATTTAAATCAAGATCACAGCATTACAGAATTTCATATGAACTCTGTCAATTTAATAGCCCATCATGATAGAGTTGCAACTGGTATCTAACACTCCAAACACAGCACATACAATCACAAGAAAATGGTATATGGTGGAAGAAGTTTCCAAAAGTCACTTCTTAATGCAGCTGAAAGACAGGAAGCATTTCCCAGGTTTTTATAGAAGCATTTCAGAACCTGGCACAGTATACAAAGTCAGCCCTTGTATGTTTGTGATGGGATGATATACCCCTGATCCATTGTCCACACAGTTTTCAGGGACTGCATTTGGCCTTTTAGAATTGTTGCTTCCCTCCTTTGCAGTATGATCCAATCCTGTATGTCTCCTTTATGCAGAAATCCATGGGTGTCTAGTATCTCTTGAGTTGGGGAGGGGGTTTCCCCCAGCAGCTGATCCCACTGGCCATGGGGGCGCCAATCTCACTCACCATAAAAGTAGCCGTACCACTTCCAGAGCTCCGTAGCCACTTTTGGAAGTGGCACGGCTCCTTTTGCTGGTGGTCCCGCTCCCCAGCTGGCACTTGCGGGGGCAGCACCTATTTTCAAGTGTGACCATGCTTCCCCTTAACTTGGCATCATCCAGGAACTTGACCAATGAGCAATGGAGCAAGCATGGACACCTGAGGGACAGCACTGGCTATGTCTCACCAGGATGACACAGATCCATTCATTAGGACTCTTTGGGTCCTACTGCGCAGCCAGCTCCCCACCCACCTAAATTGTCGAGTAGTTAAGCCCGCAATCCTCCAGTTTTCCTATGAGAGCATCATTGGATACCAAATCAAAGGCCTTTTTGAAGTCTAGGTATACAATGTCGAATCCTCTGTCTTATCCAGGTTGTGAAATTCACAGCCTTGACTGAACAAGGTGATGGGGCTCCCAGCCACAGGGAAGACCCTGATACATGCAAATTAAAGCTCAATATCAACCGGCTATAAAGTTAGTACACATTTTTGAGGTCTAACTTTACAGCTGGTTGAAGCTTTTTATGGCATGGTAAGTACTTTGGATGTGTAGCTGGTCTTCATGTAATTGCGCAATTAACCAGATATAATTGCATGATAACTTTGAAGGCATTTCAAAGAAAATAATGCTCAAATTTTTTTAACCTGGAAAAATATTTTACCCTAGCTTCATTGTCAGAAATAGTTGAACCATTTCCAATGAATTTTTCCAATATTTCAACCATCCACACAATTCAGCTCTTCAGCCTGAACAGGTAAACATTGGCAAAGTTACAAGTAATTGAAAACTCAGTTATAAAAAGGGAAATAGCAGGCAACTTTAAAAACAGGCAGTGTTACCAGCCCTGCCTCTAGTATAAATACAGAATTAGCTTTAAGATGCTCTTATTAGCACACACAAATTATTTCACAAACTTGCCAGTAAATTACAGGGATATTTTTTCATAGGTTTGGCTGCAAAAAGTATGCAGCTGTTTTTAAGGCTGGGAGATGCAATACAGATCTGAAATCAGTGCCTGCTGCCAAGTTGTTTCAACAGTTCTAATTAGATCCAGTTTGTGGAGATTACCATGCGCTTCATCATATGACCTCTGCTTGGAACACAGCTACTCCCTCTGCAGAGATGTACATTTTTGCAGGGTCCTCATTAAAGCTGTATCACTATTTCTGTTATGTTACATGTAGAGGTATAAACTGAAAAAATCTTCAGCTAAAATTCAGGGGCTCTTAAAATTCATCAACCCTAAAAGGATATTTCTTAACTTGAAAGAAGAATAAACATGAAACCTATTAAACCTGTTAAAAAGATATCCTGTTAAATAACCTATTTAAAACCTGTTAAAAACCTGTTAAAAAGATGCTTCCTTCCTGCAGATAAAGTGAAACAAAAACAGGCATTAGCCCAAATCAAAACACTGCTTTTCAACCTGCTGAATTGTATGTGCATATGCGTTAGGGTTTGTATACACACAAGTGGAAATTTCAGATTCTGAATCAAGATATTGATTCATATTTTGCAGCCAGAATCTGCCTTAGATATGGAAACTGACTTTTGAAGGATGACACAGTGGTTAAGGACCACCTTGTTATGGTGACACTATTTGGATCTTGGGAAGCATTGGATTTGCAGCTGAGCAAAAGGCTATAACCTGTGGCCTAGCAAAGCTGCTAACCACAAGGCAGAATCGTATGTTAAAAGTAACCTTGCAAGACGCTTAGGAAAGCATTTTCCTAACAATATAGTATTGCTGTAAGATATATAGCTCATTGTGTACGAAGAACTGGATGAAGCCCACCGGCTATCATTAGGAGATAAAGCAGAAGCAAGACCTTGGAGATGGTGAAGAAATCAGCAAGAAGCCGCAAGTGACAAAAAGAAGCCAGGGTCAAGGTC